CACCAGACCTAATAAATCATCTATTCTAATTGGTAGCCGAGTATAAGGTTTCTTCGTTTTTTTTTTCTGAACATACACGGCATCAAAAACCCATTTGTTAACAGCACTAATTTATCATCGAAATGAATGAACAGGTCGTAAAGAAAGAGAGTGTTTGTCCCAATTACAGTCTGGAATTCTCGACCTTAAGCATAACTAACATGTTTCGGAATACATATAAAATATGCAGTTCCATTTTGTATTGTCAGTCTATTGTTTCACGCAGAAATACGGAAAGTGCCTGCGGTGACAATATCGAGAGCAACACTCTTCTTGCCATTACGCTATGCTCGTCAGTAACACAATATTCGTGAAGCATGAATTGAAATGTATACGACTTAATGGACCGAAACATCCCTTTTTAAATTTTTTTTTTTTTGATATATATATATATAATGCATACACAGGTTTTATAAAAGAATATATGTATATTAAGAAAATATTCCTTTTTTTTTTTCGTTTTATGCATATTATTACTTGTGTTTTGAATAAATATTTTCAATATTACTTGTCGTTTAGTCGTGGAAAAGCGTTAATTAGGCTGCTTTAGGCTACTAAATTACTTCTCATCTAATATCAACCTACACAAATGTTTGCTTCGTTGCAAGAAAAACGAAGATTTATTTTTACGCAGCCCCGAAAAAATGGCACATATTCCTCCCGGTTATGACACAAGAAAAGCAGCTCTTCCGCGTGCAAAGCTTTTTTCAATGATTCTACGTGAAAAGGATTTTCCTGAACGAGCAGTGTAAACATAAACAACGATTATAACCAGAAGAAAATCCATAATTTTACAACTAATCCACTCGCCCTTTCTCAATTTCATAAGAATGGGAGGGGAGGAGCAGCGGGAGGAGGAGGCGGGGGAGGGCAGAGAGGGAGCAGGAGGGTTCATACTTCATCGCAGTCATTCATCATAATCGCCATACTTCAGCACGTGTGCAAAATACATCCTTAAACAACAAATCGTGTGTGAACCTGTGTCGAGCAGTTCTAGAACTCTTATTTTTATCACTCATCGACGAGGATAACAATAAACAATGACGAAAAAAAAACAACTGTACATATATTAACGAATAAGAAAAAATTTCTTTTTTTTTTGGCACTCTTTGGTGCAATCATGCAACAATCAGCTGAATTTTGTACGCATAAAAAAACTAGAAGCAAAAATTAAACCTGTTTCTTCACCGGAAAATTCGAAAAAAAAGCCGCCAAAAGAATAAAAACTACAAAAAAAGAAGTGGACTGATCGTGTGTGACACAGATGAAAGGTAATAACAAATGGACAAAACAGATTACTGAATGGTACTCACACAACTGGTGTTCAAGGAACACCGGTAATGGCAAACAGTGAAACTAAACGATCTACCTGAACATTTCCTTAAAGTTTCACGGTCACGATAAGCTCGAAATCATGCAGAATGGAGACTTTTTTGGCACGCTGCATCAACGATTAGAAGCGAATTAGCATGGAAAATGCATCTGCTCAAAGCTGCAAAGTAGTAATGCAACTTTCTGGTATTTGTGGTCGAAAATGAGGTTTTTCATGCACCCACTGGGAAAGCCACCTTCAAGACCCCGAGTAACTAATTAGTTAATTGGATTGCTCCACAGAGCTCTGTATTTTCCGGTTCCAGTATTTTCTTTCATCAGTTTTTCATGCAACCAATGCGGCATTTCACGTTTATGTTTGGCATAATCGATATCCGGATATTTCGGTTGTTCTGGATTTTTATCCAATGCCCGCATTTGTAAACGCTTTTTCAGCAGCTCGGCTTGCACTTCTTTCGGGTCCCGGAATTGATCCAAGTATCTGTAAAGTAATAACTCAAATACAGAATTTCTGTGGAGAAGAGAAAGATGTCCCCAGAGATGTTTGGAAGCAAGATATTAGTGATTTTGATTCCATGGTGTACGTCAGTACCAATTTACAGCTGAAACAAATTGATGGTTTGTAAAAGATTGATTTAATTAAATAATCAAAAATTAAAATTACAACCAATTAAATTAAAACAAAAATTAAAAAGATTAAAAGAACGCACAAATGGAAAGGCTGTGGTTTGATGGGAAATTCTTTCTGATCCATTTTCAGGGGCGGATTGTATTCATATTCATAAATCGGTGCCTTCATTCCTGTAATAAAACCAAAAATACAGCATAAATGATTCACAGTGACAAATGTTGTCTTCCTATCAAGCAAAGGATTTTTGAGCTATCCTGTTTTTCACAGCAGCAGCTAAAATACCAGGGATCATATAGAAAAAGTGTCAATATGTAGAATATGCTGATTATTCCATCAAAATCTCAATAACTACATTGATAGTGCAAAAAATCAGGACGAAATTTTGGCGCTCCTTAACGTGTCTGTTATGCAGGAATCGCTAAAACTACACAGAAAAGCAAAATTTGCTGAGAGCAAATTAGCTCCGAACTGAATACGTACGTCAGGAAGGTACAGACTGGAGGCAAACCGTTCAGAATATCTGAACCAAACCTGTGCAGTACATTTCAGTAGCTAAGCCACACTCTTAAAATCCATTCAGCTCGTGGCATTATCAAACATTTTTTCCTACTTTTTTAACAAACAAATCCGAATTTTTCCCTATTTCTCAAATAAACCCAGGCTGGAACGCACCGGACGGGCCCGTGCGATCATGCGTTTTTGCACAGGACTTG